ACAAACACGTGACCATTCCTCTCTTTTTATATGTTAGTATGACGTTGGTTCAAACATTATATCGCCATTTTTATCTTCTAGTTCCTATAATAGACAGGTCTAGGCGAAACTTAGATCTTCAGTTGAGAGAGCCTAATTGAGAGAGCCTGCGTGAGCCATCCAAGCAAGGTCATGGTGGAGGTCATATTGAAGCGACTAAAACCATATGCCGACAGAATCATTGCTGAAGAACAGGCGGGCTTCAGACAAGGACGGGGCACTACTGAGCAGATTTCTAAACCTCCGAATACTATGTGAGAAATATGCTCAAAGCCAACTAAAAATATACCACGTCTTTGTGGACTTCAAGAAAGCATTTGACAGGGTTTGGCATGCTGCTTTATGGGCCACCATGAGTCACCACAACATCAACACAAACCTAACCAGCATGATATGCAACCTCTTTGATAAGGCCACCAGTGCAGTATTCCTCAACAACAACATCGGAGAATGGTTCAAGACCACGGTTGGAGTACGACAAGGCTGCCTGCTCTCCCCCACCCTTTTCAGCATCTTCCTAGAGAGAATTATGTCAGATGCTCTGGAAGCGCATGAAGGGACAGTCAGCAATGGTGGCAGAACAATCACCAACCTACGCTTTGTGGACGACATAGACGTGCTGGCTGGGAACGAAGAAGAGCTAGCCGACCTGGTAAAGCGCCTCGATAAGACCTCGTCGTCCTACGGCATGCTAATCAGTGCCGAAAAGACAAAACTGATGACAAATAATACCGCAGGCATCACCACTGAAATTAAGGTCGGGGAGGAAAGATTAGAGACTGTCGGCCGCTTCAAATACCTAGGAGCAATAGTCTCAGAAGAAGGCTCCAAGCCCGAACTGATGTCCAGGATTGCGCAGACCACAACAGCACTAAAGAAGCTCAAGAAAATATGGAATTACAAAAATATAGCCCCCAGCACCAAAAACAGACTGAGGCGCTCATTAGTCCTCTCCATTTTCCTGTATGCCTGCGAATCATGGACTTTAACAGCCGATCTTGAAACGATAATAAAGGCGATGGAGATGAGATGTTTCAGAATCATTTTTTCTTTGCATCTGCTATAGGGACCATATTTCCAATGATACATTGAAAGAAATCGTTCGTCAGGCAATAGGGGAATACGATGGCCTACTGGTGACTGTGAAAAAAACGCAAACTACAATAGTACGGCACGTAACAAGGAAAAGGGGCTTGCCAAAGAAATAATGCAGGGCACCACAAGAGAAGGGAGAAGAAGAAGAAGACAAATAAAAAGATGGGAGGATCAAAGAGTGGACAGGACTAAAACTGGGCGATGCTGAGCGTAGTGCTTTAGACAGAGAGGAATGGAGGAGGATGATTCACATGTCATCTGTGGCGCCCCAACGGTCCAAGGACTAAGGGACATGAGGATGAGGATGAGGACCTGAGTGAGCTTACTTGAGAGAACCTACTTGAGATGGCATACTTGAGTGAGCCTATTTGAGAGAGCCTAATTTAGAGGGCCTACTTGAGAGAGCCTACTTTAGAGATCCTGCTTCAGAGAGCCTAATTGAGAGGGCCTACATGAGATGGCCTACTTGAGACAGCCTACTTGAGATGGCCTACTTGAGATGGCCTACTTGAGAGAGCCTACTTGAGAGAGACTTCTTGAGACAGCCTACTTGAGAGAGCTTACTTGAGAGAGCCTACTTGAGAGGGCCTATTTGAGAGAGCCTACTTGAGAGAGCCTACTTGAGAGAGCTTACTTGAGAGAGCCTACTTGAGAGGGCCTATTTGAGAGAGCCTACTTGAGAGAGCCTACTTGAGAGGGCCTCCTTAAGAGAGCCTACTTGTGAGAGCCTACTTGAGAGAGCCTACTTGAGAGAGCGTACTTGCATAGAAATGTTCTTAGTTTTTGTGTACCTCCTGGTATCATCCCCATTTTGAGGTCAACTTCCTTTCAATCAAACTTAATTTTTTACTTCTTTTATTTTCTCTCGTTCTTTTTACATGATAAGGAACTCAGACCAAATCGTGCTTGGCATGGCAAAGTTTTTATACATTCAATTTGCATCATAATATCCCCTTTACCAACTATCATTACGTACTAGGCTCTATCTACACAAAAAAGTATTCATTTAAATATTTTCAGTTGAACCTAAAAGAATATCTAAGCGATCTGTTTGAGGGCACTGCCTTAGCTGATGACATGCTTCTGTCCGTGCAAGCTCTCCAGTATTTCATCGATGTACATAATATTTTTGAAAAATATGAGAAAGAGTGAGTTTTGGATTGTTTGCATGTGTGTATGTTACGACTTTACTCCTCCCGTTGCGTTGGGAGTCATACGGTTGTCCGGGGTTTTTCGCTTCGGGAGAACAGTACCTCCCTGCCACTGCACTCTCTTTTGGGGAGACCCGGCGAGGCCAGTGGAAGGTTCCCGGCGTGCCACTGCACTCTCTTGTGGGGAGACCCGGCGAGGCCAGTGGACGGTTCCCGGTGTGCCACTGCACTGTCTTGTGGGGAAACCAAGCGAGGCCAGTGAAAGGTTCCCGGCGTGCCACTGCACTGTCTTGTGGGGAGACCCGGCGAGGCCAGTGGAAGGTTCCCGGTGTGCCACTGCACTGTCTTGTGGGAAAACCCGGCGTCTGGCACGTATTCAGGGTGCTGGGGGGGGGGGGGGGGGGGGGGGGGCCATTATGAGTTCGCGCTCGAAGCCCCACCGATGCAATTACCCATTGAGACGTATGTGTGTGTTTTTGTGTGTATGTATTTAAGTATGTATATTTGTATGTATGCATGCAAAATGTATTCTTTCCCGGTTTTTTTTTTGTATATTAATTTTTTTTTAATTATTATTTGCTTGTATGTTTGTTTGTATGTTTGATTCTTTCTTTGTTTTTTCTTTGTTGTAAGTTAGTTATGTAAATATATTTTTATCATTTAATGCATAATGGCTGTGTTGCTCCGGGTTGAAATGACTAGAAAGACTTTGCCATTGTATGCTAGTAATTAGTTTTTGTAGTGTTGCGTTTGTTTTAAATGTGGTAAATTATAGATATGTTTTTTTTTGTTGACTTTGTACCGCGCTTCGAGCCTTTGGGGATGAAGCGTGTTTTTGAAATGAACTTTATTATTATTTATTATTATTTCTTTTGTTTGAATGTATTGGGGCATGTGAGTTTTGCGTTTGTGAATATTAATGGTATTCTCTATGTATTACTAACATTCAGAGTACACGCGAACTACATGATGTTATGGTTGTTACATTCTTTCAATAATATTCTGCCGACCTCGTGGCAAAAACGGAAGTTGGATTCCCGGGAGAGACGTTGCAGAGAAAATACGCTGACCTTGTTTGGCCTTGCCGCTAAAGCAACTTATGTGGAGCATGTCTTCAAACATGAAAACAAAGCAATGGTAGGTTAGATTGAAGATGATTTTATAAAATAATTAAACTTAGTTTTCAATCATTTTATCAATCTAATCAAAGCGAACACTTGAAGGCATGTTTCATGAAGACAGCTAATAGTATCATTATTTTATAAACTTCGATCTTGTCAACTACGGTCAAATATTTATTTTTTTTAATTAAAAAATTTGTACACACTTACTGAACTCATCGGAAAAAATGAATGATATGCAAATATACGATTGAAAGACAGAAGGAGAAATTGAAAGACAAAAAGAGAAATTGAAAGACAGAAGGAGATACTGAAAGATTAATGTAATGATTTGCGGATTGTTTCATGGATAAACGAATAGATTCTTGGATGGGCAGTTTTTTCAAGGATTTATGCATCATTGTGGCCTTTCGTAGCGATACAGGAATGATATATTGAGCTAAGGATGGAAGAAGGGTGTTATTTTTCGACCGATTAAAACTTGTTATGGTATCAAGAGTCGATCAGACTCGTGATTGCTTTGAGCCGTAGATTGGATGATTTACCTGTGATAGATAGATTGTACTGTATGTGTATAGCAGGTCGGGCACATTAATTTATAGACGAATAAAATGTGCAATTTGACATATAGATTGAATTTCATATAGTTTGAAAAACATTTAAATATTGAAAGGAATTGAATAAAGTATGTACAGATTGAAGAACATATATAAGTAGTATAGCTCGATACTTCCATATCGCATTTCGTCATCGTTTTTTTTGGCTCAAACAATATATAGGAAATCAACCTGGCGCTTGACAGCGCTACTTTAGGAGGGGGGATATGCGACTGATTATTTTATTATACGATTAAATTATTAAATTTCACCAGAAAAATATTAATTGAATTGTTTTCAAAATAAAAACCTGTCAAAAAAGGAATATTTTTAATTTAAAAAAGGCATTGTTTTTAAACAGTCGCTTATCACCCCTTAATTAGCGCCGCCAAGCGTCAGTCGGCATTCCTATATTTCATTGTGCCACCAACGCCTCAAAATTTGATCTAAAAGAACATACTATACTACTTATATATATTTCAAAGGCCATGCACAATGAAGGAATTTGATGAGTTATGTGAGTGAGAAGAGATTGAGGGATTATTTGAGGAATGGATGGGTCAACTTTGTGGTTCTTGAGTGGCTAAATGGTTAAATCTGATGTTAGGATAGGTTCAGTCATTTTTCACAATCAAAATTTTATGAACTGATCCTTCCATTAACTTTATTTATCTAACTTAAAATGACATAAGAAGGAGAGGATCCCTGTCTAAATTTCTATCTCAAAACAATCGACGTAATTTTTTTTTAATAATAGTGGTTTCTTAATTTCATTTTAATCTGACCAACATTCCCTCTGCCAGGTTAACTCGGTGGCCCAGAATGTTAGACAACAAATGCTCGCTACCATTGATAGAACAACTTGGCTGGAGGAACCCTTGAGAAAAAGATTACTGGAAAAGGCAGAAGACATAGATTTCTTTTGCGGCTACTCGGATTGGATTATCGATGCCGAAAGTCTTGATGACTACTACGCGAATTTTGAAGTCGTGGACGATGAGCTTCTGAATGCTACGACTACTGCCATGAAAGAATTGGTGAAGAAACTTTACAACAAGGGACTCACCGACACGATACAGTAAGATATGTTTGTTTCTTTTAATTTATTATATAATATTCTGCGATCAAAAAGACATTTAACGAATATTTTAACGTGTGAACACAGAAGAAAGTGGAGTCATTTAAGCACTAAATTAACACAAAAACGCTCAACGATGAAAAGACCAAGCTGATCCCCATTGCTACCGCTCAAAAGCTAAAATATGTTTTAAAAAATACACAATTCAAGCACTAGATTAACACAAAAACGCTCAACGATGAAAAGACCAAGCTGATCCCCATTGCTACCGCTCAAAAGCTAAAATATGTTTTAAAAAATACATCAATTCATTTACTCGTTGAGGTATGCAGATTGAGTTTCCTTAAACAGTACGAAACCTGGGTGTCTACTTGGATAGAGCACTAACTATTTAAAATCACATTAACATGCTTTGCAAGGCAATTTTTCTAGAGCTTCGCAGAATTAATCATGTCGGACCTTTATTAACGTTTGATGCAACAAAAAGAATGATGTCTGCATTCGTGCTATCACGCATGGACTACTGCAATGCTCTCATGGTGGGTCTACCAGCTACTCTCATGGATAAAATTCAAAAAGCACAGAATAATGCGGCTCGCATTGTTCTTTTCAAACGCAAATTTGACCATGCTTAAACACTTCTGAGAGAGTTGCATTGGCTGCCGGTCCGCGCTCGCATAGAGTACAAAATTGCAACTCTGTGCTGCAGCTGCTTGCATGCTGGCACCGTCCTATCTCAAAACGCTCATGACGACTTATGTACCTACTAGACAACTCTGCTCATCTGATAGTGGCAAACTCTCGATACCAATTGTTCACCTTGAGACTTACGAAAGGCGCACTTTCGCTTTGCTGGCCCAGCACTTTGGAACACACGTTCCTGACGCTCTCAGAAGCAGCCAGACCCTGGGGTCTTTCAAAACCGAATTGAAAACACATCTATTTCGCAAACACCTGCTGGGGTGAAGTTGTCTACCATCTTTTCCAGCTGGCTATTATCTCCTAGATGTATAGTGGACTGTGTTGTTTATGTTTGCAATGTATGAAAGACCTAGAATGGGTATTCTCATATGTAGTTTTTGTTGCGTTTTGCATTTCAATGTGGTATAATATAGAATTTTTTCATTCCTCTTTTAATATGGTTGACTTCGTACCGCGCTTCGAGCCTTTGGTGATTAAGCGTGAGTTTTAAATAAACTTCATTATTATTATTATTATTATTATTATTATTATTATTATTATTATTATTATTATTATTATTATTATTATTATTATTATTATTATTATGTGCGCTATACAAATATAAAAATCATGCTTTTGCGATTATTTATTTGATATGTTATGGTATGTTATGTAACGCTTCAGTATTGTGTCCACAACTTCCCACCGCATTTTTCAATTTTGATGTTTGACATCAAGATTTAGTTGTTCAGTTGTTTGTTTTAGTAACCGGTAGCGCACTCTACAGTTTAAACAAACATTTACTTTAGTTTTGAGAGGGTGTTCATAAATAGCTTTTATCTGTATTATTTTACATGCAAGCCGTAACTCGTAGACCGTCATGTTGTCAGTCACTTATTTTATATCTAATTTGACAGGTTAACCACTGCAGTAGATCTCGGTTGGATCGGCTATTATGCTTTCAATAACACCGTGTTGATCACTGTTGACCAATTTCAGCAGCCTCTGTTTGAACCCAGCTTCTCGAAGTGAGTTAGGAGCTTGTATATAAAGACTATGGCAGGATCAATTTTATTGTATTATCGTTTATGGGAGTTTTTTTTGTATAACTAATTTGTGTATTGTTTATAGTTTTTGGGGAGAAGAGCCGAGTGAAGGAGTGAGAAAGGGCATTCGCCCAGGGCGGCAACATCAAAGGGGAGTCAAAAATCATCTTTAGGCTAGATCAGGGATGGCCAACCTTTACTGCAGGCGGGGGTCAAAGCTCAGAAATAATATTTCACCAAGAGTGTTTACCTAGGAAATTGTAAATATCCTTATTCAATAAATACTTTTAATTATGTTCTCCTTTAACAAAGACTTCATTTCAGTCTTTATGTCTATAGATAGGTTGTTATGTCTGTGTGGTAATTTGGCTTAAATAACGAATCTCTAGACAGAGTGCCAAGAGGATTTCTCATACAAGGGGTTCCCCCTTGCTAGTAAAATTCACCACAGTCGCTTCGAGGAGGTAAGATCGTGGCCAAACGCTTGCCAGTAGGTGAGATCGTTGTCTAACGCTTGGCAGTAGGTGAGATCGTGGTCAAACAATTGCCATTAGGTGAGATCGTGGTCTAAGGCTCGCCAGTAGGTGAGATCGTGGTCAAACGCTTGCCTGTTTTAATATAAAAAAAACAAGAAATAGGTACATATATTTTTTTTAAAGTAAATACATCATAACTGAGAATTAAACATTTTTTAACGCAATTTAAAAATATTTAAAAGTGAAACATCTGAATTTGTTTTGCAGAACAAAGTGCATCAAAAATTTCTCGACTGATGTTGTCGCTACAAGCCAACAGTTTTTCTAATGAACATCAGTAATTCGTGTTCTCACCTATGATTTGATGTGCTCCTTACGACTAAAAAGCTGTTCACAGACATGAGTGTTTTCAAATAGCGGAACCATCAACAGAGCGTGTTTGTAACACGCAGGATATTTATCCTTGTCCAAATACATTTTAATAGAACTATTCAAAACCAACTTGATGGAATTTCTCCTTTAACTGTGTATCACAACACATTGCACAATTTTCTATTTGTAATCTTCCTGATAATAAATTCACGTCTACCGCTAATGGCGTTGCAAAAGCACAAAAATCACATTATTTTTTTTTCAATCCTGTCATTGGTTTTCAAATTCGAAGTTTTAGTCTGATATCAAAGAAGTCTATTTACCCGCCGCCTCCTGTGTGACGTCTGGTTGCAATGACACTGTAGGAAAGTGAGTCAATTTTTTTGTCCTCAACCGTTGAAATGCAGAATCATGATCATACAACTTATAAATTAATTGATCTTTCCATGTACATGAGTTTTGACGTCATTTAGTTGGCTAGTTATATCGACCAGAAATTCAAAGTCTGAAACCCACTTTTTGTCTTCAAACTCTGGGACACTTATGGAATTGCTTGCAAAAAAATGGTTTTATTTCTTGCTGCAAATCCTACTCTCTTTTCAACATTTTAGCACGGGTCAGCCATCTTACTTTTGCATCAATTGTAACGTCATTATAATTTTAGTCCAAAGACTTTAGAAATTCTTGGAACTTATGGTGATTCAGCCCGTTCGACTAAATGAAGATCATTATTTTCACTACCACTTTCATGACATGGTCTATTTTGAAGGATTACGAACATAAATTATCCGGATGAAAAAAGCAATGAAAATTAAGCATTATAGTATTACTGACAATGGGGACCTCATTTTCCATCAACTTCACTAAGCCTTCCTGTTTTCGAACCATTGCTGGAGCACCATCCGTTGATAAGCCCGATGATTTGTTAAGTTGTAACGAAAAGCGATTCAATGTCTATGTAACTGCCTCTAACACATCTAGAGACTTAGTACTGTCCTTAAGTGGATACAGTGCCGCTAATTCGTCTGTATTTTTAAAATGAAAAAAAATTGCCCGTTAGGAAGTATCTGATATATCTGTGCTTTCATCCAATGCTAGAGCATAAAATATAAAAGCGAATGCTGGACTTTTCAAACTATCTTCAATCTTCTAGGATTTCCCAATGTCGTCCCCATATTTGAATTTTCACGAAAATGGGGAATAGTTAAAAAAAAGCTCAAAACAAAAGATTTTTTCAAAAATGCGCGACATATTACAAATATTTCTTAGCTTTGATTTAATAATATATGATACTAACGACTCATGATGTAATTTTCTTTTGGCGATATGTACACTAAAGTTAACATTTATGTTCATTTGACATTGCTCCGACGCCGCGTGCGGCCCACTAGCCTCATGTTGGCCACCCTGGGTTAGATAGCGAATTAAACCATGAAATGTGCAGGCTTTCTTCTACAAATTGGTTCGAGGGGCGCTCATTTTCAACATTCCCCTGGGCGCACTTTTTCCTCTGCTTCGCCCTGATTGGGGGGTATTGTAGTATTGTGTAAATAATTGATATGAGTAATAACTATCATTAATCAGAAAATTTTAATTTTAAGAAACAAAAGAAAGACCAATAATAAAAAAGATCCTTTTTCAATTAATTATTGACGCTCTAAGCAAGTGGCTTTGGTAATAATGTATATCGCAATAATAACTCCGCAACAAACCTAATGTCAAAGACGTCACAAAAAGGGTTAATTCAAAGACGGGACGTCGATCCTAATGTAAAGGGCGTCCCAACAAACGTATAATCAAGACGTCACAAAAACCTAATGTCAAAGACGTCACCAAAACCTGTGTCAAAGACGTCATTAAACCTGTTTCAAAGGCGTCATAAAACTTGTGCCAAAGACGTTACAAAAACCTGTGTCAAAGACGTCACAAAAACCTGTGTCAAAGACGTCACAAAAACCTGTGTCAAAGACGTCACAAAAACCTGTGTCAAAGACGTCACAAAAACATGTGTCAAATACGTCACAAAACCTGTGTCAAATACGTCATAAAACCTGTTTCAAAGGCGTCATAAAACTTGTGCCAAAGACGTTACAAAAACCTGTGTCAAAGACGTCACAAAAACCTGTGTCAAAGACGTCACAAAAACCTGTGTCAAAGACGTCACAAAAACCTGTGTCAAAGACGTCACAAAAACCTGTGTCAAAGACGTCACAAAAACCTGTGTCAAATACGTCACAAAAACCTGTGTCAAATACGTCATAAAACATGTTTCAAAGGCGTCATAAAACTTGTGCCAAAGACGTTACAAAAACCTGTGTCAAAGATGTCACAAAAACCTGTGTCAAAGACATTACAAAAACCTGTGTCAAAGACGTCATAAAACCTGTTTCAAAGGCGTCATAAAACTTGTGCCAAAGACGTCACAAAAACCTGTGTCAAAGACTCACAAAAACCTGTGTCAAAGACGTCACAAAAACCTGTGTCAAAGACGTCACAAAAACCTGTGTCAAAGACGTCACAAAAACCTGTGTCAAAGACGTCACAAAAACCTGTGTCAAATACGTCACAATAACCTGTGCCAAATACGTCATAAAACATTTGTCAAAGAAGCAGAAAAAACCTATTGCTATGCACGTCAAAATAAACATGTATCAGAACGTACACTTGTAAATTGTGTAAGGACATGTACAATTCATCAGACCGTACACTTGTAAATTGTGTAAAGACATGCACCATTCATCAGGCCTTACACTTGTGAAATGTGTATGGATATCTACTAAACGTCAGGCCGTACACGTGTAAATTGTGTATGGATATCCACTAAACGTCAGGCCGTACACTTGTAAATTGTGTATGGACATGCACCACTCATCAGGCCGTACACTTGTAAATTGTGTATGGACATGCACCACTTATCAGGCCGTACACTTGTAAATTTTGTATGGACATGCACCACTCATCGAGCAATACACTTGTAAATGTGTATGGACATTCACCACTTAGCAGGTCGTACACTTGTAAATTGTCTATGGACATGCACCACTCATCAGGCCGTACACTTGTAAATTGTGTATGGACATACACCACTCATCTACCGTACACTTGTAAATTGTGTATGGACATTCACGTTCAGTGGAGGAGCGAAGCTGTCGAAGGGGTGAATAAACGGAAAGAAGTTCGGTTAGATAGGAAGGACGTCAATCTGTAATAGAGCACAGTTATACCGGTGCCGAAGCAGTGGTGGCACAGAAGGAAATAGGGGATCGTATTTTATAAATTTGTTTGTTTTTTTTATAGGAGAAATTTTAATATTTATTTTTTCAGAGCGAAGTGGGGGATTCTTGCAGACCCATTAATTTGGATGTTAGCTAAAGGCTGAATAAATGTTTGTGTTTTCTCGGAATGTAATACCAAGCTACGCCGGTATATCAGCCAGTTTTAATAATTTCTATACCCTTTAAAACAATAACATTGTAATATTACGCATATTTAAAGATTGAACACTAAGAACTATTGTTAATTTCTTCCTTTTTAGGCCATTCCTTTACGGGGGTCTTGGATACATTGTGGGCCATGAAGTCACTCACGCCTTCGATATTGTAATAAGAGCATGGGATGAAAATGGTCTCCCACTGATCGATTGGCCGCCTCGCTCAGATGAAGAGTATTTGAAGAGAGCCAAGTGTTTGGCCGACCAGTACAGCTCTCAAACTTTATATGGTGCTCATGTAAGTTGTCAATCCGATAGCTTCTCAAAGTGGTGTATCTTTCTTTTCGTGAATAAATAAAAAAAAAATGTTTTTAAATTTTCAAGTATAAATTAAATATCCCCCCAAAAATCAGGGGTCTTACAGTTATTTGACTAGAACGGCGTACCACGCCCATATCATAATGTTCTATTGTGTGCTTTTGAGTAGAAGCATACGAAGTATAGAAGTATACGAAGTATAGAAGTATACGAAGCGTTATCTCAATTAGAGATCAGAGAGTATTCAATGGTCAGTGGTAGTTGCTGGTGACCTAGTGATCATGAAAAGTGGTATTGACATAAAAGGTGGGGGGGGGGGCCAGTGTACAAATTTAAGCTCAATTGAACACAAGACGTGATTCATAATAGAGTTAAAAAATTTGATCCAGAAAATTAGTCCCAAAATACACACAGACACAAAGAGACAAAATAGAACTCTAAATAAAAGCTTGGAGTAAAAAAAAGTTATTTTGTAGAAAAGACCTTCAACATCCTATCTGTGTTGTAACACCTATGAGCCACTTCCTCCTACCCTACCTCACAACAAGGAAACTTAAAAATACAACATAACAATGAGGAACCTATTGACGTTTCAAGGTGGGTGATTTAGGGGGCAATAAACCCCAGAATAGAGATAGGTGGGGAGGGGGCAATAAACCCCGGAATGGAGATAGGTGGGGAGGGGGACAATAAACCCCGGAATGGAGATATGTTATATTTCTAATTAATAAGAGGACGATTTCATTAATGTATCCCCCGCTCAAACTCATTAAGAATAAAACATTTTTATCTATGACTCGGCAAAAAAGTCAAAACCATGTAAGGGCTTACCGGTATAGTGGTGTATTATTTATAAACTATTGAAAAATTTGATGTTGTGAATAGTGACTCGTTGTAACGGGTGGGTATTTGAAACTGTTTCCTAATGTGTGAGATCTCATGTTTAACAACGCATCTTTGATATCTCTTAGCTGTGTGGGAATAAAACTGTTCTGGAAGATATCTGTGACAACAACGCGGTCAGGCTGGCCTACAAGGCCTTCAAGGCACACGCGCTGGCAAGTGACCCTATCCTGCCTGGCCTGAATCTAACTGACGACCAAATGTTCTTCCTGGGCTTTGGCCAGGTACGGTGAATGCGAATGTCCAATCATTCGAATATTTTCTGATAGCTTGGCTCTATCCGGGTACAGAGGGTTCAAAAGTTCAATCATGGGATAAAGTGCTGATGACTGGGCTTTATGTGGGTACATTAGTTCTAAATGTTCAATCATGGGAGCAAGTCTTGATAACAGGGCTCTATTTGGGTATAGTGGGTCCAAATGTTCAATCATTTGTTCAAGTGTTGATAACTGGGTCCCCATTGTAGCATATTGTTTATTTCCTTGTGAACACATAATAGTGGAACGTTATATTGTAATATTGACTTATTATTGTGGACAGTTATTTCTCAACATACTTTTGTTAAAGGCCCTCCGCTATGACCCACAAGTATCCCATCCCCATAATGCCAAAAAAAATCAAGTCTTGCTGTTACAACACGATTTTATTGTCTTAAATTCTTCACTATGTAACCAATCCAAATGCGTGTTGTACTAAAAGGTCAAGGTTGATGCTTCAGAAATAAGGTGACCTTACAATTAGGTCAGAAAAACACGGTGTTGACAATGATTCGTCCCCGATAGAAGTGTTCGGTAATTTACGTAAGTGACATTAAGCTAAATGTATCTAAATTATGAGAAATAAATCATATCATTGATAAAAATTACGATGTAATCGGGTGGTTCTTAGTATATGAATTGACTCGCATCATCAGCACTTTCGTTTTTTGCGAGAGTATACACTTTAAAATTAGCAGGGCTACCTTCCAAACAATTTGGATGGATTTAATTATTTCATCCAGTGACACAAACTGCTTTTAGATAAATCACCTTTTTATCTATTTATAATTGAACCATCGTAATGTTTACCGACGCACAACTCTTGAGCCTTTGAGAGGTGGCTCATTTAACGCAAAAAGTGGCCTCTGCATCACTTGACCTTATGTAAGACACACAGTCACATGGAGGAAGAGTGGTCCTTCAGTGGATCCCTGGGGCACGCGGAGTTACCCCAAAATGAGAGAGCTGAATATCTAGCGAGGCAAGGGTCTGCACAGCCACAAACGAAACCGGCCAACGATCCAACTGGTGGTCAAGCCCAGGTGGAAAGGATTCTTGCGAAAGGAGTGATTAAAGAATTGTAAAAACGGTGAGACAGCACCTATAACTTTACCGGGAAAAAAGCCACTACCCAACAGCAAAGGTGATCAATGATGGCGATAAAAGTGGGAGAACCAGAACCTCGTCAAAAGACCCCTCAGCCGACGCCGCGTGCCGAATACGCCGCCGAATTTTCGTCCGCCAAAAATCCGCCGGAAAATATGCGCCGCGCCGCATTAGCCGCCGTATTTCGTCCGCCGTAAATCCGCCGAAAAATGAACGAGTCGCCGTGACGTAATGTTTTTGCTTTCTTAAATTTCATGGTGTTCCGTTTTAAGGTATCAGGAATTGAGTGACATAAACTGACTGAATGGAATGCATTCACGCACTGTATTAGTAGGACAGCATATAAAACTGTTGTTTTTTCTATTGTTTGAAATAATAAAACTTTTTTCTGAAGTATTGTAAAAGTGTTTTATTGCTGAATTTGTATTACTTCATTATTGGCCAGGCTTCAGCCGAATTTCAGCCGAATATTTCGTAATCAGTCGAAAATCGACCGCAAATGTCAATTTACGGAGAAATCCGGCTAATCAGCCAAAAAATTATGTCTGCCAGGCTTAATTTTTTAAAAAAATCGGCTGGCAGGTCTACTCGTCATCCAGATGAGATCAGGACACTGTCCTACTTGAAGTTACTTGAACACATTACATCCTCTTCAGGACCAGATTCGCCGTCACTGCGGACAGGCGCCTGAGACAGTGGTGCACTTACGAGCCGAGTGCCCAACACTAACGAGTGGAGGGGTTGGGAAGATGCAGAAGGTCTGATGTGCGGCAACGCCCAGCAGATGCAGCATGCCTATAGAGACCTGGCCGGGGCCATTAAAGAGCAGTAGCTCGATTCCATAAACAGACTGTAATATCGGCAAAAAATAAAACTATGTCTGCCACGGTTGCCATGCATTACTTAATAAAATCATATTGGAGCCAAGGTTTTTATTTCTTCCTTGTTGCTACCACGCTTGCAGCCAGACAAAACCACAGTTTTCACAAAACGACTCCCTTTGAGTTATTTTTTTTATAAAACCTTTTGGAGACGAGAGATTTTTTTTCGTTTGTTTTACTTTTAATAGCATTATCAGTAGCAACGTCATAGAGTTTTGGGTTTAACGATTTTTAGTTGCGCGTCAAGCTTAGCCGTCTTGGTCCTTCTTGGGCCACATACATAGCCGTCTTGGTCCTTCTTGGGCCACATACATAGCCGTCTTGGTCCTTCTTGGGCCACATACATAGCCGTCTTGGTCCTTCTTGGGCCACATACATAGCCGCCTTGGTCCATCTTTGGCCGCATGAAGCCGGCGAGTCGCGGTTTTGAAACCCCTGGGACCGACCTTTAAAATTAGGACGCATAAATGCTAAGCCTTTAACCATGTTATTCTATCAATTTTGTTTACAGAAAAACTGCCAGAAAATGGTGGAAAGTTCTGCAATCTTTCGATTGGATTTTGGTATGGATATACACAGCCCTAATCCATATCGGTGAGGGTTTGTATGCTGAGTGACTACCTATAAATACAGTGTAACCATGGAATAACGCAAGCTCTTTAGGCTGAAAAAAAATGGAGCGCTATTAGCAGGTTCACCTCAGTGTCATTAAAATGTGTTCAGCACCGGGATGAATAAGCCGTGGAAAACGTCAATTTAAGGATCGTTATTTCCAGGTTTCCTTGTAAAATATCAAATGGTGACAACTCAACATTTCTTTGTCACATTTTTTTATTGTTATGCTGCACCTGATCCAGGGCTTCTCAACTTCTCAACAAATGTAGAGACATTTTATAAATTATATTTGTTACGAAAACAAGTTTGTTGAGGCGGTCATTTTATTGTCTTTTAAAATGGTATCCAAATAGCTGATATAGCCGGATGGCTTTGGAGATACAATGGTATCCAAATAGCTGATATAGCCGGATGGCCTTGGAGATACAATGGTATCCAAATAGCTGATATAGCCGGATGGCCTTGGAGATACAATGGTATCCAAATAGCTGATATAGCCGGATGGCCTTGGAGATACAATGGTATCCAAATAGCTGATATAGCCGGATGGCCTTGGAGATACAATGGTATCCAAATAGCTGATATAGCCGGATGGCCTTGGAGATACAATGGTATCCAAATAGCTGATATAGCCGGATGGCCTTGGAGATACAATGGTATCCAAATAGCTGATATAGCCGGATGGCCTTGGAGATACAATGGTATCCAAATAGCTGATATAGCCGGATGGCCTTGGAGATACAATGGTATCCAAATAGCTGATATAGCCGGATGGCCTTGGAGATACAATGGTATCCAAATAGCTGATATAGCCGGATGGCCTTGGAGATACAATGGTATCCAAATAGCTGATATAGCCGGATGGCCTTGGAGATACAATGGTATCCAAATAGCTGATATAGCCGGATGGCCTTGGAGATACAATGGTATCCAAATAGCTGATATAGCCGGATGGCCTTGGAGATACAATGGTATCCAAATAGCTGATATAGCCGGATGGCCTTGGAGATACAATGGTATCCAAATAGCTGATATAGCCGGATGGCCTTGGAGATACAATGGTATCCAAATAGCTGATATAGCCGGATGGCCTTGGAGATACAATGGTATCCAAATAGCTGATATAGCCGGATGGCCTTGGAGATACAATGGTATCCAAATAGCTGATATAGCCGGATGGCCTTGGAGATACAATGGTATCCAAATAGCTGATATAGCCGGATGGCCCTGGAGATACAATGGTATCCAAATAGCTGATATAGCTGGATGGCCTTGGAGATACAATGGTATCCAAATAGCTGATATAGCCGGATGGCCTTGGAGATACAATGGTATCCAAATAGCTGATATAGCCGGATGGCCTTGGAGATACAATGGTATCCAAATAGCTGATATAGCCGGATGGCCCTGGAGATACAATGGTATCCAAATAGCTGATATAGCTGGATGGCCTTGGAGATACAATGGTATCCAAATAGCTGATATAGCCGGATGGCCCTGGAGATACAATGGTATCCAAATAGCTGATATAGCTGGATGGCCTTGGAGATACAATGGTATCCAAATAGCTGATATAGCCGGATGGCCCTGGAGATACAATGGTATCCAAATAGCTGATATAGCTGGATGGCCTTGGAGATACAATGGTATCCAAATAGCTGATATAGCCGGATGGCCCTGGAGATACAATGGTATCCAAATAGCTGATATAGCTGGATGGCCTTGGAGATACAATGGTATCCAAATAGCTGATATAGCCGGATGGCCCTGGAGATACAATGGTATCCAAATAGCTGATATAGCTGGATGGCCTTGGAGATACAATGGTATCCAAATAGCTGATATAGCCGGATGGCCTTGGAGATACAATGGTATCCAAATAGCTGATATAGCCGGATGGCCTTGGAGATACAATGGTATCCAAATAGCTGATATAGCCGGATGGCCTTGGAGATACAATGGTATCCAAATAGCTGATATAGCCGGATGGCCCTGGAGATACAATGGTATCCAAATAGCTGATATAGCCGGATGGCCTTGGCGATACAATGGTATCCAAATAGCTGATATAGCCGGATGGCCTTGGAGATGCTTTGACATTTGAAACAGGCATGGCACGACAGCCCTGTTCATAAGGTGTCATGCAATTTATTACTTTAATAAAGGGGGGGGGTATAAAACCACTGACAACATTATATTGTTTGAGGATACTTGTCCATAAAGTGCAACAGCTATCATTTTAAGCGGGCAGCAGAGGCGTAGCTGAGGGGTGGGCAGAGGGGAAGATGTCCCTGAGCGCCAGACTAGTTAGGAGCGCCAAAATGTGCCTTGATTTTATTTTGTTAATGACAGTGATGGGTTTGAGATTTTAAAAAAGAAAGGGAGGCTTTTTAAAATGAACCTTGTCCCCAGGGTGCCAAACTCTCTGGTCACGCCTCTGGCGTGCTGTCAACCTTTAAAAATTATATTTTTAAAAATCTTTTACCAAAATCAGTTGTTATTGTCTATTGGTGGCCAAGTATTATAAGGACGTGACATATAGTATAACAAAGTTAGCTTGTTCTGCTATTTCTTTCACTTATCCATGTCTAAAGTTATCGTATTCTACTATTTCTTTCACTCATCCATTTCTAAAGTTATCTTATTCTACTATTTCTTTCATTTATCCATTTCTAAAGTTAGCTTATTCTACTATTTCTTTCACTTGTCCATGTCTAAAGTTATCTTATTCTACTATTTCTTTCACTTATCCATTTCTAAAGTTATCTTATTCTACTATTTCTTTCATTTATCCATTTCTAAAGTTATCTTATTCTACTATTTCTTTCACTTATCCATGTCTAAAGTTATCTTATTCTACTATTTCTTTCACTTATCCATTTCTAAAGTTATCTTATTCTACTATTTCTTTCATTTATCCATGTCTAAAGTTATCTTATTCTTCTAATTATTTCACTTATCCATTTCTAAGGTTATCTTATTCTACTATTTCTTTCATTTATCCATGTCTAAAGTTATCTTATTCTTCTATTTTTTTCACTTATCCATTTCTAAGGTTATCTTATTCTACTATTTCTTTCACTTATACATTTCTAAGGTTATCTTATTCTACTATTTCTTTCACTTATACATTTCTAAAGTTATCTTATTCTACCATTTCTTTCACTAATCCATTTCTAAAGTATCATGCAAGTTAACATTTCCATTTTTTTATCGACTGAGAGAACCAGCGTTAAATGCTGGAATTCGATTGAAAGAAATCGCCAGCGTCCGAGACCATGATATAGCATGTAATTTATCACTTATTATGGGACCTAGCACATCCTTTAAATAAATCAGTGGCCTTTGATAAGAGTCTATTCTACAAGCTACCATTCAATTTCTCCCTTATCAAAATCATTTATTCGTGATAAAATTTAAAAGTTTGGGTCCAGACTAATAGTTGCCGTTTCATTCATCGCGTGTCCCACCCGGGGTGCTTGACTGAACTCCAGACCAGGAACTTGGGATTTGCTCAGTCTAGACCATTCGGCCACCCGGCATCATATTATTTATTATTTAAGATAATAATTAAAAGGTTTTGGAATAGATCAGTAGGGTGCCTACGTTTAACTCAAGAATAGGAGCTCTATTGAAAGCCATTCAATAAATGTTCAATGTGACTTGAACAATAGTAAATAGATTGAGATTCCCGCTCAAAAAGTCTCGGTAAATATTTGGTCAAAAGTATCCTTTAAAAAAGATTGGCTGGGAGGCTTTCTTTATCCTTTTCATACATTTTCTAGGTAATATTTAAAAATTGTAAATCACGGAACGTTAAAAATTACAATAATATTAGAGTATGGGGCCACCGTAGCAAACATGAGTCACAAAAAAAAATTGACATAGTCTATGTCATTTCTAGTATAACATAGAACATCTGCCTATCTTATTTCTAGTATATCATAGAACAAATACCCAGTGGCGTAGCTAGGGTCATCTGCGCCCGGGGACATGACACAAAATCTGCGCCCCTTCTAGGACCGACAGAGTCTGGGGGCTCAGTTTGAGCCCCCAAGGAAATGTTGAAATTTTACAGTTTATATGGTTCATTTTCGAAGTATCTGGTATTTTAATGAAATAGAATACAGACTAATAATTCTCTATACGATTGTAAACAATTTATTTGAAAATATATATATATACACTACTGATTATACATGACTGGAATAGACATAGTCTACAACAAATTGATACTCCTTGATTTGACTGTCGCAAACTCGTCTATCACTTTGTCAAAATTAATGTTCTCAAGTGTTTCTCTTTCGATGCTAAGAAGTGCAAGATCACTCAGACGATCTTGTCCCATTGAAGCCCGTAAATAAGACAAAATAAGCTTCAGTTTGCTGAAGGACCGCTCACAGCTTGTAATTGAAGCAATTTGCAGTGAAATGCGCAGATTCGGAAATACGCCATCTCCATATGAAGCAATAAAACCAAGAAGATCCAAAAGAGTTTCCGGTAGAGCTTCAGTTCCGGTACTGAGCAGCATTTTGCAGTCTCCGATTTCTGTGCACAATGCGCGACCATTGACGTCAGTGTCGTAGAAATTTCCAAAATCAAAGCAATTTTGACGAAGTGTATCGACATTTGTCTCAGCGAGAAGAGTTTTGACGTCTAGTAAAAATCCAAATTTGGTGTTTAGCTTTTTTAGACGTAAAAACCGTATTGATATCTCCAGTTGGAGTCTATCAATTACGCTGTTCATAAAACGTGCAATTTCTTCTTCTGCCGAAAATCATGCATCTCTTGCTAATTCTCCAGGCATCCTCCGATGTCATCTAATCCTTCTGAAAACCTCAATTGCCCAGGTTGTGCATCTTGTTTTTCCATTGTCTACCACAAACTGGCTCAAATTATCACGAATGTTGACAAGTTCTTGCTTCAGTGATTCAAGATCAGATGCTGCTTCCTTGAAATTCATAATAGGATCCTGAAATCGTTTCTGGACATTATCAATTTACGAAGTATGATGTTCCAGAAATGTAACAAAACTAGGAAGATACAGTTTAATATACCGGCCAGCAAAGTTTCTGTATCACCTCTGGTTTCAGGCATCATAGTTGCATCTTTTGATAATTGTTCCAACAGCCCTACTAGTTCATCTAGTCCTTCATAAATAGCTTTAACAGCTTCTGATCGTGCACTCCAGCGTGTTTCAGACTCCCTCTTCACTTTGATTGGCACAACTCTTTTTTAATTCTTCCCAACGAGTTGTTGAACAAGAGAAAAACAAATATATACTTGTTCCAAAAATGTGATAACAACTGGATCCTGTTTAGCTGAGTGTACTCCTGCTAAGTTTAAGCTGTGGTTTTCACAGTTGACAAACAATGCTCTGTGATTTTTGGCACATATTCGCTGTTGAAGGCAGGATATATGCACAGTCATTACAGCAGCATTGTCATAACATTGTCACCGGCAGTCGGCTAGAGGTATGTTATCAAATTCCAGTTTCTCTACGATAACTCTTTCAAGGCTTGCTGCGTCTTTGGCATGGATCTGAACAAAACCTAAAAATGATTCTTTGATGGCTACTTTTTTAGGTTGAAAATCCACATCCCCAAATCTGATGACTTGAGAAAGCTGTTCCCTGTGTCCTAGATCGGGTGTTGAGTCAAGAAAGATACCGTAGTAATTGTTTTTTTCTGATTTCACTCAATAGCTGATTCCTTACAGTCGATGCACGTAGGTGGATAAATTCATTTTGGATTTCCGGTGATATATAAGATACTGAACCTGGATTTTCTCGGGCTTGTTGTAGGTTTTTTCTAACAGGGGATCATACTGAGCAACGAGTTTGATCACAGAGAGAAATTTTCCAACATTTTATACTGTTTTATACTGGTGGAAGTGAGAGAAAGCTACAGACTATATTAAACGAGACGAATACTTGTTATCTATCTTTCTCTTTTCAACTTATGTGAAGTATTATTCTATCTTCCTTGCACTCACGTAAAATCCTATATTCGACTCGAAATTATCCAACCTGTATAATTAATTGTTAAAACCAGATGTCACTTTCAGTATATGAAAAATAATATTTGAACCCGAACTGATCTTTGTTTTTCAAAAAAACGCCATCAGCAATCCTACATTGTGGATGTGTCATTTGTTTATGAGTAGAATGGCGCCCCTTAATGCTCAATGGGGGCGCACAAATCATGCTTGCCAACTGGTTTGTAATGAAGATATAATTGTGGAGCTCCAAAATTCTATCTTGCAAACGTATTTGGGATACATTAGTTTACATCAAAATAAAATCAAATAATTAGTTTTAATAATCATTTTGGCGCCCCCTAAGGTGGCGCCCGGGGACACATGTCCCCCGCCCCCCCCCTAGCTACGCCACTGCAAATGCCGATGTTATTTATGTCATTTAAACAAATAAATTTCTCTTGTCATGGAATAGGTTTAGTAAACGTATATTTCTCTTGTTATGGAATAGGTTTAGTAAACATATAATTTCTCTTGTCATGGAATATGTTTAGCAAACGTATAATTTCTCTTGTTTTTGGAATAGGATCAGCGAACATATAATTTCTCTTTCTTGGAATTGGTTCTGTAAACATATTGGTATAATTTATCTTGTTACTCTTATTTCCAGGGTGAATATGACGCTCTCAAACTACCCAGAATTCGCCAAGGCATTCAACTGTCCTCTTGGCTCGCCCATGAACCCGGTGAAAAAATGTGCCGTCTGGGAATGAGGAATGAGAACCCTCTCCAGCGAGATATTGTAACACACGTGTACAGCTAGCTCCTTGTGCTCTGGGATAGATGCCATAGAAAAACTCGCATAACTGAAATAATTCTCAAAAATCCATTTCCAGTGAAATGAAATTAACATCATTCATTTTAATTTTATGTGAACGAGTGATAAGTTTCTAAATACACAAGACATCGCCTTGCGAATGAAGTGACATCAGAAAGCAAAATTTACCAATCCAAGCACACAGCTCCCAGATATAAATGTGTGTTACGAAAACTCATTTCATTCAGCAAGATACTTTAATTCCCTAATCATAAGATACTCATTTCATTCAGCAAGATACTTTAATTCCCTAATCATAAGATACTCATTTCATTCAGCAAGATACTTTAATTCCCTAATCATAAGATGCTCATTTCATTCAGCAAGATACTTTAATTCCCTAATCATAAGATACTCATTTCATTCAGCAAGATACTTTAATTCCCTAATCATAAGATACTCATTTCATTCAGCAAGATACTTTAATTCCCTAATCATAAGATACTCATTTGTAGCTGCATAAAATTCATTCTGAAAAATTTACGTTTGTAATTTACTACTGCCAGCAGATCCCTATATTAGTAGCAACTGGCGATCCCTATATGTCTAGCAACTAGTTATCCCTATATGTCTACCAACTAGTTATCTCTATATGTCGAGCAACTATTGAACCCTATATGTCTAGTATCTAGTTATCCCTATATGTCTAGCATTTAGTTATCCCTATATGTTAGCAACTAGTTATCCCTATGTGTCTAGCAACTAGTTATCCATATATTTCTAGCAACTAGTTAACTCTATATGTCTAGCAACTAGTTATCCCTATATGTCTAGAAACTAGTTATCCCTATATTTTTAGCAACTAGTTAACCCTATATGTCTAGCAACTAGTGATCCCTATATGTATAGCAACTAGTGATCCCTATATTTCTAGCAACTAGTGAACTCTACATGTTTACCACTTGTTATCCCTATATGTGTAGCAAGTAGCGAACCCTATATGTCTAGCAGCTAGTAATCACTATATGTCTAGTAACTAGTGATCCCCATATATCTAGCAACTAGTTATCGCTTTATGTCTAGCAACTAGTGAACACTATATGGCTTGCAACTAGTGATCCCTATATGTCTGGCAACTAGTGATCCTTATATTTTAGCAACTAGTGATCCCTATGTGTCTATCAACTAGTGATCCCTACATGTCTAGCCACTAGTGATCCCTATATAGCTAGCAACTAGTGATACCTATGTAGCTAGCAACTAGTGATCCCTATATAGCTAGCAACTAGTGATCCCTATATACCTAGCAACTAGTGATCCCTATATAGCTAGCAACTAGTGATCCCTATATAGCTAGCCACTAGTTATCAGATGTTATCTTTTAACTTTCATCTCACTAAAATTATTTAGACTTATTTTAAAACATTGAATTCTTTGTCAAGCTCTTTTTTTTTAAAAAAAAACTGTCCTTTATATTAACTGTTTAGAAATTCTGTAATTCCTGTCTAGCAACTTTAAACTAACCGCCCTTAACTCAATAATAACTGTCTAGTAAGTCATAGGGACTGAATAGAAACTATATAGTAACTGTCTAGAAACTATGGAAACTCTATAGTATATCTATAGTAACTGTCTAGAAACTATGGAAACTCTATGGTATATATATAGTAACTGTCTAGTGTGTCTATAGTATGTCTATATGTCTCTCGCTCTCTCTCTCTCTCTCTCTCTCTCTCTCTCTCTCTCTCTCTCACTCTATCTCTCTGACACACAAAGCAGTCGAAAATCCCTTTCTACTACCTAATACCTTTAATGCTACGTAATAACTCTATGTACTAACTAGTAGCTGTATCTGCTGTCTTAGTAACTGTCTTTACTGCCTGGTAACTCTCCCTCTTTTCTGCCTAGCAACTCTGTCTCTGCTGCCTTGTAACTGTCGGGCAGTCCTTCACCATCAAGTAAATGTCCAGCACTTCTGTAAAGCAATGCTCGTACAAGCATGCCACTGTTATAAACATTCAAATAAAAGCTCTGAAATGTCAATGCAATGCTCATCTCGTTATGTGTCATTAGTCACCTGTTAAAGACATGTGAGTTTATTAAAAAAATCACCATTATATGTTGTTGAAAGTTTTAGATAGCGTCCAATTCCGTTATGACGTATGGCAGGAAGTATTCTACTCCTATTCTCTATAGTTCAATGTTATGGTGCGTGATTAACTAAACCAGTAGATCTCAACCTTCCTAATGCCGCGACCCTTGAATACAGTGCCTCGTGTTGCGGTGACCCCCCCCCCCCTAACTATACAATTATTTTGTGGCTACTTCATAACTGTAGAGTATATGGAAATGTGTTTTTATATGGTTGCTTATGCCTGATAGGCAAGTACTATTAGTACACCATCCAACACAAAAAAATATGTCTGTTTGAGATAGAATTCTATTTTATGAGAAGACTTTTTATTGTGTTCCAAATATATTTCAGATTTGGGGGGGGGGGGGGGGGGGGAATTTAAAATTTAAAATATTAAACCAAAATCATAGATATAAATACTGTAAGAAATAGCGTCAGCGGGCCGTCGAGCTTGCGCTCTTTATGCCCTCCCCAAACAACCCTCCCCAACCCGGTATCGGGCCGCGGAGTGGCACGTCGAGGATATCCCTTTGTCAGGACAGCCCCCAACCGAGTCTGCTCGACCAGGGTCTCCGCCGGGGGCCGTCCTAACCCAAAGACACCCGGTCGGTCCGACACTGTGTTTGCACACAGTGCACACAATCGACTTTCTCAGGAGTCGGGATGGAAAAATGTACGTCCTAATATCTTCCCCCACCCATCCCGGGGAACCGTTAGACGCCCTATAAGAGGGGTTCTACAGTGGGTTTCCACAACGCAACTAATTCGCGACGTAGCTGGGACGAAACGGTTGCCTTGGAACAGCTTCTCAGGGTTGTTGATCTGAATAAACATTTCAGTCTCTTACTTTTATTGTCGTATTTTTTTTAAAAAGAATATTATATCATACCACCAATGTTCCCTTTAAGCTGCGCGGCCGCGCAACAATCTTACAGACGCCGCGCAGCAGTTTTGAGTACCGCGCAGCTAATTTCCACTTAAGTCTTTGTAGACCGAAAATTTTGCGCACAACTTTATGATTTTGCACACGAACCAACAAACCTTAGAGGGAACGTTGCATACCACTCTTATGAATGTATGTTGAGCTGAGAAATATTAAAAACTATTTCCATAAACCGTCCCCCTCTTCGGTATGTTAAAGAAGTTTGTGAGAAAATGCCTGTCACATAAATCAAATGTCAATTATTTTTTTTATGTATGATTGTGTTCATGTTGCACTGTTACTTTATCCATGAAAATTTGTTTATATCACAACAAATATTTCAATTTCTACAAATCAACACAATTTGAAACTCACAAAGTATTATTAATTTTTATTTATTACTCAAATTAGTCATTTTAACTGAGGACTCCAGTATTCCCCTTTCCCCCACTCTTCTTGTTCTAGTTCTAATTTTTTTACAACCAAGTAGTAGCACAAACTCAATAGTAGCTCATGAGTTGTAAAAATGTATTTAGATGAGCAAAACATAAGGCCATTGTCATTGTGAAGTTGAAGCCAAATTATTTCTTGCATATGCAGTTGTCCATAGCGGTGCATAGAATTAACACAAAACCTTCTGGTCGATTAATATATATTATATTGTGGCAAGTTGCCATTATTGTCTTTTAAAACAGGGTTTTGTTTAAAACAGGGTGGGGCGGCTTGTTTCATGTCTGAGCGTTCGGATCATAAGATGTTTCATATTCGGGGGTCCACGATCAATTTATTGATCATTTTGGCTCCTGGTTTGAATTCAGAGTTAACCTTCTCTTTGATGAGTTGCCTTCCATGCTATCGAGTCCCATCCACCCGGATGTCATTTCAGAAATCATCACATTTAAGGATATACTGCATTAGATAAGTTTTATTTTTAACACAGTAATACTCAGTTGACACGATCAAACTTGTCGTCAAATTTTTGTATGATCGCACTATTTTGTGTGTGCATAGACTCGTTGGAATATTTTCTTTTGTTTTTTCTTAAATAGTTGGTGAAAATGAATCTGCGGTGTAATAGCTGGTGGGTCATAAGCATATTAATATAGTTCAGGGGCGTGAAAAATATGTATTTTTGCGACTGCTAGCCTTGAGGAAAGGGCGGGGGGGGGGGGGGCTAATTGGGATTCTAATGAATTGGGTTACTTGCATGCATGTTTTTTTAAAATTTAAGCCCCACATTTTTGCCATTACTTTTTACAAAGGTTTTATACGCAAAAAAATTTTTTAGGGGCGTGAAAAATATGTATTTTTGCGACTGCTAGCCTTGAGGAAAGGGCGGGGGGGGGGGGGGCTAATTGGGATTCTAATGAATTGCGTTACTTGCATGCATGTTTTCTTAAAATTTCAGCCCCACATGTTTGCCATTACATTTTACAAAGGATTTATACGCAAAAAAATTTTTTTAAGGGTTGTTTAATTCTGGACAACATAAAGGATTGATTTGATTAAATGGGCCTACTTAGTTGTCAAACAGTCAGATGCGATAACCAATCGCAGCTTTACTTTTTTTCACGTGACATTTCAGCTTGTTTATCAAAATGGCAGCCATTCAAAACAAATTGTTCTTCTATTATTATTAAAATTTAAATATTAGAAAACATCACAAGGTTTAGTATGGATAATGAGTATTAAGTCCCAAAAAAAAATATTCGTTTGCCTCTCGGCCTGTTGGCTAAGATCAGGATGCGGTGTCTGTTCTTATCCCGCTGGGTTACCAAACCTGGTTGGGTGAATGTGATATCTCGCTTGTTTCTTCAGCCTGGCTGGGTCGGGACAATCGATCGGTAGGAACAATAAAGTAAAGAGAGCCACATGGCCAAGATACCCCCAAAAAATCTGATTGCCTTTAGACCCATTGGCTAAGTTCAGGATGCGGTGTCTGTTCTT